TTTTTTTTTTTTTTTTTTTTTTTGGTACGGGGGATTGAACTCAAGACCCGGTGCTTGTGAGGCAGGCGGCTAAATCCCCAGCCCCTGAAGTCTCACTGTTTAACAAAAGCTGCCTCATGTATATATTAAACATTTGAAGACCCGCTGCTATCCTACCCAAGCGTGCTGTGTATAAAAGGCATTGTGGCCAGGACTGAGGCTTCCTGAGAACTCAGATGCGGCCTTGTTGGAACCCTAACATGGGGTGTGTGGGGTGAAGGTGTGGGAAGACAGCCGGCTGGTTAACCGGGGTCCCCGCAGGTGCAGCAGCACATTTTGTTAGACCACTGGCTAGAGGGGCCGTAAGCACACACAGCCAGCATGGACACGCGCACACCCAGCGAGGGCGCACACGCGGAATGGATGCACCCCCTCCCATGCCTGGCAGACATCACTAGTCCACTGCAGAGCGCTTGTGTTGCTAAGGGCAACCAGGGAAGCTGAGCCCAAGTAGGAAAGGAAAGGGAAGGATTAAGAGCAAGACAAGCCCAGGGTGAGCTCCAGGCCCGCCACATACTCTGGGTGGCCTCAGACAAGCTACTGAGCTTCTGTGACTCAGTTTTCCCCTACAAAGTGGAGACGGTGGTTCCTTCTCATGGGGCTGCTATGTGATGGCAGATTGTTCCGCACTTGGCAGCCCCCAGACAGTTGCAGCTCTGGCTTAGTATTCCTGCTAACAGCCTCATCCAGGCTAATTTCTATTGCCTAGGAAAATTAACTTCTAAAGTGGGTGTGGTGGCGCATGTCTGTCATCCCAGGACTCGGGAGGCTGAGGCAGGAGGACTGCTGCAAGTTTGAGGCCAGCCTCGGCTACATAGCGAATTCAAGGCCAGGCTGAACTGCACAGGGAGACCCTGTCTCAACAAAACAAAATTAACTTCTGGTGCCTCGTGAGTCTGCCAGCCTTTTCCCCATGAGCATTCCAGAACCTTGTTTCTTAATACATGGACAGAAAGTTGGTGCCCACAGAAGGAAGGCAAAACAATAATGTCAAGGCTTGTTCAGATGATCATGTACGCGTGCTTTTCCTTATTTCATCTTTCTGCCTCTCTTGCAGGGCCTTGCTTTGGCCCCTCCTGCCATCTCCTTCACCTACCCAACCCCATGGACATAAAATGGTGAAGTTAAAGTCAGAAGAATCACGCTGCACCCATAAACTCTTACTCTGCCTTCACAATCTGGGCCCCAAAGCCCTAAGAGAATGGAGCTGCAAATCCAGTTACATAGCCACAGCCAAACAGACAGGCTTCAGTCAGGGTGGGGGCAGCAGGAATGGAGGCGCCCCTCAGGGTCACACAGAGCTCGGGAGCTGGACTGCAGGGCGGGGACCTCTAAGACAGGGTGGGGGGGCTGCCCTCCACCCTGCTCCACCTCCAGCCTTGGCCTGTGCTGTGTGCAAGGCATCCATCCCCTTGCCCAAGTCCTGCAAGGCGAACCCCACCTCACTCAGGAAGACCTGCTCGCTCTGGGCCCAGATCCATCCGGCCCAGCAGGGTGCCAGGCACCGGAATGGCAATGACGGGCGAAGAGACAAACGGGTGGGTGCACGGACGGGTGGTTGCTGGGTGGTGGATTCACGGATGATGCTCGAGCAGACAGGTGGACTTGGCAGTGGCTGGATTTGTGGGTGGCTGGAAAATGGGAGAACGGATAGGTGGGCAGGCAGAGGGAGGAAGGAAGGCATTCCCAAACTGCTCTCTCCCTTCCCAAAATTATGGCGAGTGCAACCCTGAGCTAGAGCTCAAAACGAGCTTATGAGGAATCACAGGTGAGGGTTCTGGTCTGGTCTTGGGAGCAACAGTCCAGCCCCGGGCCTCACTAGGCCCTGGGGTACCTCTGCAGAGAGCCTCTGAGCAGAGCTCTGGGGCCGCGTCCGGCTACAGCTCACAGCCCAGGGACTGTGGCCACTTTCCCACAAGACCAAGCACCCTACAGCGATCCCTGAACCTGCATCTCACCCCAGAGTCCCCTCCCCAGGCTCCACGGGACATGGGACACCGGAGTCAGTCTGCAGCACTACAGGAGGGATCAAGCGGGATACTGAGCAGCCTGGTCCCCCAGAGCAGCAGGCTCTTCTCTGCCTGCCCGGCACCAGCCGAGGATTAAGCGGATACCCACGCAGGAAACCGAAAAGCTCTGGTGCCAAGAAATCCCCGGCATCGTGGGCCCCACACCACCCCTCCACCGGCACGGCCCACCCGATCCCAGCCAAGCCGCCACCCTCCCTGGTGACACCGCTCTCAGGGAGCCCACACGCCACGAAGACCACTTCAGCATCCAGCCGTGTGGCCCCCGTACCCGCCAAGGATGATGGGTCTCAGCGCTAGGACCAGAGGGTCAGCAGACAGAGGAAGATAACCGAAAGACAGGACACCCCGAAGGGCGCTTGAGCCCACCCCACAGGAGCAGAGGAAGCGTGATCCCCACTTCCGTCTTCCTCCTTCCTCCTCCTCCTCCGTCCCTCAGGTGTGTACGGGTTACCTGCTCAGTGCGGGCCACTGGGCTTCAGCAGCAGGAGCCGAGCATGTCTGGCTCTGGAATCAATGCCTGAGCTTCTGGTCCCCTTCAGGACTTCGGGGACACCCACTCTGAGCTGCAGCCCCACCGGGGCCTGCGTGCAAGGGCGCCCACAGCCACCTGTGGTCTGGAAGGAGCAGCAGCCCAGCTGGGCTGCTGGCACTGAGCGCAGTGGTCCCCAGCCAACCTGGACGTCAGGACCTCAGCAGAATGCAGGACGGTACACGCAGGGTTTGGTTTCTAAAGCAAACATGGTGTAGTTGAAGAGGACTCACACACACAGTTCCTCTTTCCGGGGCTGGGTTCCTGGGCAGCGTTACCTTCACACCTTCCTGTGCCCCGGTGATGGCTGGAGGACCTCGTGAATGGGTGTGACAGAAAACACGCTCACGTGTCACATCGGAGCTGTGCTCCGGACAGGACACCACGGCCACCCTACCA